AGATTTTAGAAATAAATCATGCTTTTGTAAGATAGATTTTACCTTGAGATTTTGAGCTTAAGTTATGTTGGACATAGAATGATTTTGAAATATCTGATTTAAGTTATTGGATTGTCAGATGTGAATTGGATCAGTTTCGAGTCTTGTGCATTTGTGGGACCCTTTCATAAGTGCACGGCGTCTATCGCATCTCGAATTCAGGTTTTGGGGCGTGACAGATTTAGTGGTATCAGAACTTAGGTTGAAATTAAGAGCTGAGGATTAAATTAAGCATCTCCAGATTGAGTGGTATCAGAGTTGAAGTTTAATTAAATACCTAGATTTAATTGAATACCTAGGATTTGTTCAGAACTTGGCTGGCCAGTGGATTTTAGAACCGTGGTGAAACGAGTGATGGGGTTATACAAGGGACGATTTTGATTTATGTTGCCTGAATGTCTGATCCACTCTGATGAGATGGTAATTTAGTTAGTTCCTGTTATCTGCCTTTGATGAGGGTTTGAAATTAATCTTGTCCGCCATGTTCTTAAGACCTTGTTTTGAAACTTGGTCATTTTCTGATAATATGCACTTGTTTAGACTTGTTACGTGAATAGAATTTTTGTATGCTCTTTTGCCACAATTGTAAAAATCTGGGGAGTTGCAGAGATCTTTTGTTATTGATCCTGTTGGTTTCTACAGCATAGCTGGTTGAGGAATTGTTCTGTTTGTCACATGACCAGTGGAAGATGGGTAAACCCCCTACTTTGTAAGAGATTCAAGGCCATTTTGGCAAATGTTGTGTGTTTTCTAGATGCATTCTAGGAGCTGGATAACTTGGTAATTTTGCTGCTCATTATCTTTCTGAAAGTCTTATAGTGAAATTTCGCTTTTTCTGCTCATTATCTTTCTGAAAGTCTTATAGTGAAATTTCGCTTTTTTCATTTGGAGCTTCATAATCTTTTCATGTGGCTCATTTTTCTATATTGGTTAATCCAAAAACAGTGATCAATTCAATTGAAATTACCTTGTTTTTGTGAAGATTGGCAAGCTGTCATAAAGTTAAACTCTCTATTGTTGCTAATCTCTACATTCTTGATACCTGGAACTGCTTGAAACTCTTGAAATCCATCTTGAATCTTTCTTAAGATTGCTTTGTACTTGTTCTTGAAACTAAAATCTAAAGGAAATGGATAATGATTATTGAAATCCTCATTATCTTGATACTTGTCTGAAATTAATTCTTGCATTGTTCTTGGAATCTTATCTTGAACCTTGCCTGGAGTAAAGTCATGTTAGCATCATTTTCTTGAAAATCAATTGATATTTGGTTTTTGGAATCTATTTTGAATTATTCTTGAAAACCATTCTTGTCCTGACCCTTGCTCTTGCTCAAATTCTGTATACTGCTCTTGCTCAAATCCTGCATATTATGCTAGTTCTTGTTTTAGTATACTTGTTGATCTTCTTGATTTTTGATTTTTGTTCATATGGACACCTCTTTAGGAGGGGTGATGATTATTAGAAAATACCTATATGAGGCATCCTAATTCTTGTCTCTTGCAAGTGTTAATCTCTGTATCCTTGATGTCTTAGCTATGACTTGACTCTAGGATGTCTAGGATGACTTGATTGTAAATCTGCTTAGCCTCCATGGGCTACGAGGTGAAGGGGTAGTCTTTGAAGTACTTAATGCCCTAGAGTTTTGTTCCAAGAGAAATGGTTCTTTTATCTGGCTGTTTTGATTTTGTTTGCCCTTTTAATTAGAAGACAATAATCTTCTAAGTATCTGGATCCTCATTATTAATTATTTTGTTAATTAATTCGTGTTACTTGGGGTGCTAGATCTTGACATCCTGGTTATATATGCTCTTGAATCCATGTTCTGGTTGTCATTATTGAAATCTCTTTTATGGGCCTCATCTTTGAATTCTATTGCTTATTTCATGGTTAACTCTTGTCTCTCAATTTTGACTGCTTGGTTAAATTTGATCTTGATTCTTGGTGAATGTCGTTTTGTTGCTGAAATTTTTTGAGGCATTCTACCTTGCGCTCTTATATTCCAATATTCTTCCAAGCATTCATATTTTCCATTGATTTTATTCTGTTGCAATTCTTGAGATTCTTACATGTCTTTTGATGGTCCTAGCTTTTAACTCTTGTTAATTGCTAAAATCTGTATCTTGATTCTAGTTGCTTTGTTAAACATGATCTTACTTATTGATTAACCTTGTTTTGTGGCAGAATGTATAAGGCATCCATGCACTTGTTCATTCATTCATGATCCAAATATCTATTGGATGCTTATCCGTCCTTGATAGAGTTTAAAGTCTTGTTGTACTCGTCTTTAAATCCATGCCATTCTTTGCCAACTCGTCTTGTGTTGGGTTCATAGCGTAACCCCGCAAGTATTCTTTTGTAGCTTTGGCAGGATTTATTTTATTCCTTGTGCTTTCCGTATTACCTCAGTCTCTAGTAACTTGTTTCATGGTAAACCCTGTTAGTAGTTAATGTTCTGCTTTTTAAGATTAGTTATGGTTTGATATCAGAGTGGCGCAGTGGAAGCGTAGTAGGCTAGGTTCTGATCATGGAAAGTTGGTGGAGCATTTGTTTTGTCTTGGATTGTGTGGAGCCATTCACCAGTCTAGATGATCCTCAATTTAAGTTTTGGGGACAAAACTCCTTTTTAGGAGGGGTGAATGTAATATCCCAAAATTTTGTGATATTTAGCACATAGTTAAGGACTTGATTGTGAGAAAAATATTATTTTGGGGCTTAACAGTGAAAATTTTGAAACTTGAGGGACTTAAAAGGGATAAACATTAAGATAAAGGGTGGTTGATTATTTTCCCTTTTTTCTCCAACCACTTTTCACGTGATTGCTTATCTTCTTCCTCCCGACCCCCCCTTGCATCCCGAAAGGCCCCAAGCTTGCCGACCTCTATGCTTGGAAAAAAATTGGAAAAAAGGCTTGAAATTTCTCTTCTTTTCTTGTTCAATCACCAGATTTAGGACCTAGAAATCCCTTTAAAGCCATAAATATTTTAGATCTGCAGTTTCTCTTCCTCTCCTGTCCACCGGCTGCTAGTGGGTGTGCGAATTTCTGGGCTTTTTTTCGATCCGTGAGTTCCTCTATAGATCCCATCGGCTTCCCCAACCTGCCGACTCCAATTTTGCTTGCTGGAAAAATTGTGGTATGCGGCAGCTTCTCTAAGTCCAAATTACTGTTAATTTGCTACCCCTGTGATGTCCAAAATTATGTTGAAAAATGGGGAAATTCCGGTAGCTTTAGGATAAAGTTTAAGCATTAATTCAAGTGGGATTTATGTGATTGAGTGTTAAGTGATTGTTGTGAGATTTTGGAGAAAAATCCCGTGAGATTAGCTATGATTTTGCCAATCTTTGGAAGTGCAGTTACCGTTCACGTCGTAGTTATTGTTTATGGGTACTATTCACAGGCACTGTTTATGCACTGATGGCCAACAATTAACGGGGATTTAAATGTTTAGTTTGTAATATAAGAATAAATGTGGAGATGTCCAATCATATAGAGACTAATAGAAATAGTATCGTGATTAAGGGTGATCCTAATGAAGTTTTTACTTTGAATTTGTGATAGTACGGAATTAATTTTTGGATATTTTGATTAGGTTCCTGATTGTTCTGTCAGTTTAGTATTGAGATCGAGTCTTCGGTTTTATGCGAATGAGGTAAGTAAATTTATGGTAATGTTCGTACAGTTTTTAAAAGCATGTTTTGACTTGTTTTTGAAGTGGTGGTGGGACTAAAACCATTTTACGCAAAAGTAAGTATGACTAATTTGAAGTGAAATTTTTATACTTTTCATTAAATTGAGCATGCCTACTTGAAATTTAATTGATTGTCCTGATAATTTGAAAGTGATTGGTGAATTATGATTTTTCTGTTAACTTCTGCCTGTTTTGTCTCCGATGTTGTCATGTTATTAGTGACCCTGCTAGTGGGGGTTAAATGCTAGCACATGTTGACATGTTATTGATAGAATCGGTTCATTCGAATGACCCTGCTAGTGGGGGTTATACACCAGCAAATAGTGTGCCTGCCAATGGGCGAATACATTGGTAATTACTGACGCCTGCCAGTGGGTAGTTTATAACACTGGCCATGACCTATAGAGGAGACGTCTATTTCGTTCCCGTACTGTATCCATTTTTCATGATTACACTTGTTGGCATGCTATAAGTTTAATTAAAGGCACTCCATATTTTACTTACTAAATTTATCTCATAGTTTTTCCTTATCCACCATTTTAGGAAGCGAAACCGAGGACGGGGAAACCACGAGAAGTGACAAGTTAGAAAGCTAGCCATTTCGAGATTGATATAGATTTTAGAAATAAATCATGCTTTTGTAAGATAGATTTTACCTTGAGATTTTGAGCTTAAGTTATGTTGGACATAGAATGATTTTGAAATATCTTATTTAAGTTATTGGATTGTCAGATGTGAATTGGATAAGTTTCGAGCCTTGTGCATTTGTGGGATCCTCTCACGAGTGCACGGCGTCTGTCGCACCTCGAATTCGGGTTTTGAGGCATGACAGATGTTCTTAAACTAAAAAAATAAAATGGTGTATTGGCAGAAAGTTCTAGATTCTGAGCTATATTCAGACCAAAATCGGTCCCAATATTCAATGACTCTCGACTTCCAGAGAGTAATATGTACAGACCGTTTTCGATCTGTATATATTAATTTAAATAATATTTTATCCCTAATTTTTGTTATTTAATATTTATGTTTTTAAGAGAAAATATTCAGACCGGTTTTGGTCTGAATATTAATTGCGCGGTTGCACTATACGTTGGTGCCAACAATATTTAATATTTATCTTTTACAAGGAAAAATAGTTAGACCGTTGTCGATCTAAATATTAATTGCACGGTTGCACTGTATGTTGGCGCCAACAATATACGGATCATTGTTGGTCTGAATATATTGATTAATGGGTTTGGTACCGCCTCAATATATTCGGACCAATTTCGGTCTTAATATATATTTGGTTATATCCCCGATTCAGTCCCTCAACTTTCATTTTTGGACTAAAACTACCCTCAAACTTCAAAAAGTACTAAAAAAATCCTTAAACTTCAATTTTTGGGACCAATTT